TTTTGTTTAAAGGATCTTAAAAAAGTCACTAGATACTTTTCAGAAGTAATTTTCCCAACTCTGGACCCGGTATATTCTTACTGAATTAAAATAAAAGGAATAATTATTATAATCATAATACAGTCGAACTTTGATAATAATTATTAACGTAACTTTCGTTTTATTTGACACTTCAATTTATAAAATTATAATTTTGTAATTTAACTTTATATGAACTCCTTTTTGCAAAAAAGACCCAACCGACAGTATATTTAACGTTTACGTTTATTTTATTAAATCAATTTAATTTAATTCAATGTTTAGTTTGTTTTTTTTCTGTGAGGATCTTTTTTAATTTAAATAATACTTAATAATAATAATAAGTTGTTGATTGCTACTTTTTTCAAAGGTGTATATTTTCCAAAAAAAGGAAAAACTTTTTTTTCCCAATTTTTTCGTTTTTTCCGACACTTTAAATCCCTACTTAAAACAAATCATCCAAAATTAAATTTAAACGAATCCTTCAAAATTTGTGTCTATTCATTCCGTTCTACAGTACCTATAGTCAAGTTTTACTTAACAACCTAAACAAATTTATATTTACTGTGAAATGACTTTTACAAATAAAACATTTACTTTTAATTTTTAAATAGGCTCACAAACCATAACAAATCCACCACTTTAACGAACAATTGTAACATTTTCAGGATTTTATGCTCATCAAAATTAATTAACGTACCTACTAATTAGCATTAATTCTATGAAAATTATAATTAGATATGCTACACATATCAACTAAATTCATTTACAATATTTCATCGTTATTTCAAATCTAGCTACCCACGGTTTTGGTCCTATTTACTTTTTTGCTTTTTTAATATCAGACAATACCCTATATTTTTTTAAATAGGATATTAACGTAGGTTCATTAATTAATTAATAGGGAATACCATTTCCGGTGCATTTGAACAATTCAATTAGGCATTATTTGTCTAATTATGATTATTTATGTGTATTGATTAAAAACATGGTCAACGTAGGTAATCTCTGAAAATAAAACTAACGATTCAGCTTGTGCTCGAACAGAAAAAGCGCTTTTTCCGGGCTTCATTAAAATAAGTATATATACCAACTCACCCTATTTCTGTAATAATTAGGAATTATTATTAATCCTGATTATCCTTTTTTCACCCCACAGTAAATTTTACTTCATTCCCAGAGTAGTACTTTCCCAGCCAGACAAACTTTAATATCCACCATGACTAATTGTTATTGATTTCGAATTTTGGGGCCCTCTTTTGAAAAGCGTCTTTGGTTTTATGCCTCTCTTAACTTTCCTAATATGCGCTTCGCGATCAAAGGAAAATCAATTCAAAGTGCCTCCTCTGTCGCATCACCTTTATATTGGAACCATCGTCGATGAGAATCAATTTTATGTTAATAAGTTTACGTTGAAGCAAGTGCCCTTTAAAACTTTTTGAGTTTTATGATTGTTTGTGTTTGTTTACTTTTAAGACGTATACTTTATAGAGGTGCATATTCTATTTTTGGCTCGACAGCTGTTAAGACCTGTCCCCAAAGATTTTAAGGCACGTGCGTTCGTTTACGACTTTTTCAGGATCCCCTTTTGATATGCTGCCATTCAGTTTATATGTAAACTTTTGGTATGATCTCAGACAAACAGATTGACGTCCCCCAATATTAATGAATGAATGAATGAAATGTATGTTGAGAAGCAATATTTAACTTTGGCACATATCTTTCTTTCCGTCCGCAAATACATAATGTTAAAAGATTCCAGGGTACGTATACAGGGTACGTATATAAGTCATTGTGGGAATCACAAGAACATAGGTATTTTAGGGGAATCAAATTTTGATGACTTATTAGCGTACAAATGTAACTTTTTGTTATAGAAATGTGAAAAGTAAAAAAAAAACCTAAATTATTTGTATTCAATTATCAAGTTGGAACTTTTGTGTGTGGACAATAGCTACTAAAAAAAAATATTTATATGTTCATTATAAAAATTGAGTCAAATTATTTTAAATACCAACCACACAGCGTTGTCGAGTTTCTTAAAAAGAAGATTTAAAAAACTCGTCATATTGTATAAAATTTAAAAAAGAAAATAGTACGCTATTTAGTACATATTTTCTTTTTTAAATTTTATACAATATGGCGAGTTTTTTAAATCTTATTTTTAATAGTAATAGTATGCTTTTTCCTACATTTTTTCTTTTCATAATTTTTGCTCATGAACCACACAGCGTTGTCGAGTTTCTTAAAAAGAACATTTAAGAAACTCGTCATATTGTATAAAATTTAAAAAAGAAAATAGTATGCTATTTAGTAGACTGGGCCAAAAAAATCGCCTATTTTTTTGGAAAGTATATCGAAAATAGTGTTTGGGGTGACAAAAAAAAAATATGGTGAAAGTTTGAGTCCATAATATTAATATTAAGAGGTCTATCATCGCAATCTTATATTTTTTTCCTGAGCGAGTTCTTGTCTCAGAACTCCCAAATCATTGAGTTTAACAAAATTGACTTAAGAATATTTTTTGAAGAAAATTGAATGCTCTACAAAAAAAGTCTTTTATCATTTTTGGCTAAATTCACCGCATCAAAAGTAATTCAAGGTTAAATTTGAAGTCAAAACGAAATTTTAACCTTGAATAACTTTTAATTGAGTGAATTTTTTTGTAAAGCAATTGATTTCCCATAAGAATATTTATCGGTTTTTTATGGGTACTGATTTTTACATGAATTACAAAATTCCAATTTAAAAGATCAAAATGTAAAACTATACCAATTTTTAAGGCATGATTTTAAGGAAACGGTTCATCTGACGGAAAATTTCACTTTAACCTTTTTTGTAGAGCATTTAATTTTCTTAAAAAAATATTTTTAAGTCAATTTTGTTAAACTCAAACTTTCACAATAATTTTTTTTATCACCCCAAACCATATTTTCGATATAATTAAAAAAAAAAATAGTTGATTTTTTTGGCCCAGTCTACTATTTAGTACATATTTTCTTTTTTAAATTTTATACAGTATGACGAGGGTCTTAAATCTAAATTTTTATATGTTATGTAACACGTTTTATAAACTCCATTTAAGTTACGAGTTTAATTATGCACGAGCTCAGCTTGCGAAGCGAGTTTATAATATACAAGTTTTTTCCAATCTGACATCTGTCAAGAGATTTTAACCTAACTTTTTACCAATTTTAACTGCCAAAAACTCAGTGCAATATTGTATAACACGAGATATAAAAATTTATTGTTTTAAAGATAAAGAGCATAATGAAGAAAATATTTAATTTTTATGTTTTGCATTGATTGTTTTTAATGTTGGCTAGTTTATTGTTTCAATTTACTTATTATTAATCTATGATCAAAAAGCATTGTTATAAACTCCAATACATAATATTAATGTACAAAAATTTGACGACAGCAGTTTATTAATTTTACGTACAGTTTTTCTTTCTATGTAGAAGCAGTTTTTCACAGTAAAACGCTTTATCAGTTAAATCTAGTTAACTGCACTACTTGGACGAAATCAATTGATTTCGTCTAAGTAGTGCAGTTAACTAGATTTAACTGATAAAGCGTTTTACTGTGACCTTTTAAAAGGTCAGTACAAACGTTCATATAATCTTTTCAAATATTCGCGTCAAGAAGCTATTTAATACTTTTGTATTGAGATAGTAAAATAATTTTCACATTTAGTATTATTTTACAAGAATGGCAATTTATTTTAACGATTGTATGACATTTGGCAACTGTCAACTAACTTCAGCCCGTGACTAAAAACCTGTTGCTAACTTCAGCCCTTGACTAAAGCGCCATAAAGCCACTACTTGTCAATGTGTATTTAAAAGATCATTGGGAGTAGAAAATAGTACATTCTGTAACAAGTTTGGAATACAGCATATTCCGCTCGAGGAAAAATTTGACACACGAGCCGAAGGCGAGTGTGACGGTTTTACGAGAGTGGAATATGCTATTCCAAACGTGTTTCAGACATTATTTTCTCTACGACTACGTAAGAATAGTAACGCTTAAAAGAAGAAAGCAGTTTTTGACATTTAAGTTTTTTGTATTGTCAAACCATTTTGTGCCGTCACAATTTTATAATGTAAATTATAATAAATTTAAACAAATGGTATGCCTAAATCTTTATTATAATTAAAAATAGTTATTTACACTAACTAATAAAAAAAATAACATTGTAACAAATACAAAACTAATTTTACAAGTAATCTATGTCAACATCTATTCTTTTTCTACATTTTAAAGGTCTTTTTTTAAACTTTTTGAATCTGTCAAAACTTCAAAGCCGGTATAGTAGGTAACTGGTTTATCATTTTAATATCAAATTAATTATAATTTTGATTTGTATATTTGAAAAACAATAAATATAACTAATTTTTTGGGCCTAAACCTTAATTATACAACTGCTATTATTTTTTAATTAATAAATAATACAGTAATATTTAAATCTTTTTAAATTTTTTACGTTTAGTAAACAGCCAGGAGATGTCGTTACTTGTGACCATTCTTAAACAAGAGTGGGAATATTCTCGCACAGTATTGCAGAAAAACATCCTTTCTATGATCAAAAAGTACACTAGAATGTTACTATTCTTAAGTAGTCGTAGAGAAAATTATTTACGTCTTTTCAATGTAGAAAAAGTAGGTAAAAAGTTTAATAGAATTAAAGAAAAACATAAATATGACAACAAACTTGTAAATCTATAAAAGTAAGTAAACAGGCGATTGCAGGGAAAAATAAATATTGTACCTTGGTACTTATTTATAATATCATAAAGCGGAAAGATAAATAAATTTTAATTCAATATTTTCTTCGTTATTTTTCAGACCCCGAACCGCCATCAAACCGAAATCATCCAACGAAAGTGCATAAAAAAGTGTAAAAACCCGCAGTGCACAGTGCGCCCTAACCTCGAAAAAATGCCCCGGATCCCGCGTTAAGCCCGCTTCGCACGAGCACGATGCTCTCGTACATGCTGCCGCCCGGCGGCGACGAGAAACCGCCCGCGGGGCCGCCGCCCGCCACGCACAACGGCTCCAACGGCAACGGGCGCCTTCAGCTCGCGTTCGCGGGCGCGGCGGGCGCGACCTTGACGAACGGCAGGGGCACGACGCCCCTGAGCAAGGAGACGAGCGTGAGCAGCTTCGCTAGCGACGTCACGACCGCGACGCACAGCTCGATGACGCCGACGAGCAACGCCAGCGAGAAAGGCAAGCCCAAGTTGATCGTCAACGGTGGGAAGCATCCTTTAAAAAGGTAAGGGTCGATTTAGTAAATCGGATTTACATTAGGAACACTGTTATAAAAATCAGATTTGTTAACATGAGTTTTTAGTTTGTTAATTTTATTTTTTATAATTTTAACATACTTTTTTGTAGAAAACGTGGGTTTGCAATTATTTTAACAAAGGAAAATATTTTACCGAAAGTTTTTTTTTGTTGCAATTTTGCAAGCATTTTGTTAATTTAAAAGGTTACAGATTATTTTGTTAATGTTTAAAGGCGGCTGCACAATTACACGGGAACGCTAACGAAAACAAGAACGGAAACTAAAACGAAAACGAGAAGATTCAGAAGATTCACAATTAACATAATTATTTTAATTCTTAGGGTTAATATATTTTGGGGATATTTAATTTATTTGGTATTTATAATAGAAATATACGTACGATCATACTGCAGATGTTGAGCTATTAAAAGCTAACTATTTTTCTTTAATAATTAATCTTTATACTCTTTTAACAGGCGATCGTACAGATGTGGGAAGTTTTTTACTAATAAAATAATTAATTCGTCGTTCATTTTCATTAATTTATTAACACTGAACGTATTGATAAAACAAATAGCGCGAATGTCAGAAATAATTTGACAGATTAAACTCATTTTCTATTGGTTTCGATAATGCTGCGTTTCTATTGGCTACCGGGAACGATAAACTTAAAACTTAAGGCGGCTGCACAATTACACGGGAACGCTAACGAAAACGAGAACGGAAACTAAAACGAAAACGAGAAGATTCAGAAGATTCACAATTAACATAATTATTTTAATTCTTAGGGTTAATATATTTTGGGGATATTTAATTTATTTGGTATTTATAATAGAAATATACGTACGATCATACTGCAGATGTTCAGCTATTAAAAGCTAACTATTTTTCTTTAATAATTAATCTTTATACTCTTTTAACAGGCGATCGTACAGATGTGGGAAGTTTTTTACTAATAAAATAATTAATTCGTCGTTCATTTTCATTAATTTATTAACACTGAACGTATTGATAAAACAAATAGCGCGAATGTCAGAAATAATTTGACAGATTAAACTCATTTTCTATTGGTTTCGATAATGCTGCGTTTCTATTGGCCACAAGATATTTAATTTATTTGGTATTTATAATAGAAATATACGTATGATCATACTGCAGATGTTCAGCTATTAAAAGCTAACTATTTTTCTTTAATAATTAATCTTTATACTCTTTTAACAGGCGATCGTACATGTACATCTGCAGATGTGGGAACTTTTTTACTAATAAAATAATTAATTCGTCGTTCATTTTCATTAATTTTTTAACACAGAACGTATTGATAAAACAAATAGCGCGAATGTCAGAAATAATTTGACAGATTAAACTCATTTTCTATTGGTTTAGACAATGCTGCGTTTCTATTGGCTACCGGGAACGAGAAACTTAAAACTTAACCAACTTTCTCGTTTCCGTTCGCGGGATGTTTCTCGTTCTCGTTACCGAAAATTTGTTGTGCATGTGTACATTGACTTATGTGCGTTTAATTTTTTTCTCGTTACCGTTCTCATTTTCGTTTCCGTTCCCGAGTAATTGTGCAGCCGCCTTTAACCAACTTTCTCGTTTCCGTTCGCGGGATGTTTCTCGTTCTCGTTACCGAAAATTTGTTGTGCATGTGTACATTGACTTATGTGCGTTTAATTTTTTTCTCGTTACCGTTCTCATTTTCGTTTCCGTTCCCGAGTAATTGTGCAGCCGCCTTTACAAATAATTTCGTTGAAAAAGTACACGTGATTTAAGGCAGTCAATCAAAACATTTCCCACTGACAATTCGCATCAACAAGTTCAACTGACTTCAGCGTCTGCAACTTATGTTTCTGCTTACTTTATTCTAATTCGTAACGTGTTCGTAACTACTGTAACTTATTGTTATTCGGATTACTTATACCTATTTCACCTATTTCACCGTGAATTCACCGTTTGCGTGAATTCACCGTGAATACACCGTTTATGTGCAGTGAATATACCGTCCATTTGTGACATTTGTAAACGGTAATTAAACGGTGAACTCACGCTGTTTTTGCGATAAATTCACGGTGATTTCACGGTTAATTCACGGTGATTTCACGGTAAATTCACGGTGAACTCAATACATCTCACGGCTGCTTACGCAAGCGAGCTAACTATAAATAGCGTTGGGTTGCAATATATAGTTGGAAGTGTGCGTCTGTAATGGCATAGCTGAACATTAATCCTCATCTGCTCAGTAACGAATAATGGCTAGTTATAGTCGTGTTAAACCTATAGGATATACCTACCCTTGCCTTTTAGTTCACGGTTTATTCACCGTGAATTCACTGTGAATTCACCGTGAATATACCGCCAAAATACGGTGGATTCACAATTAAAATACTGTGAAAAGTGCGTGAATTCACCGTCTAACTACCGTTTACAAATGTCACAAACAGACGGTTTATTCACGGTGAGTTTACGGTGAATTCACCGTGAATTCACGGTGAATAAACCGTGAACTCAAGGCCGCAAGGGGTACGAAAAAAAATGCCATCACTGGTTTTCAAACTGAAATTAGGGGATACAGTGAAGTGGGTTAATGTTACGAAATACATCAGTAAGTGTTGTGGTAGTACTAATAATTATATTGTACCAAATTTCTTTATAATTTAATTATTTCAGAATGGTGTGTTATTTAATGGTAGGTATGTATGTAATTTTTGTGTTCATTTATGTAGGTATGTGTTAATTTTTTTGTTTAGGAAATTGATTAATATAGCAACATTTCCTATCAAAATTCTTTTCATTTTAGTTTCCAATTTCCAACAAATACTTTTGTTACTGGGTCTACAAAAAGGTTTGTAAAAATAAGGTCCTTTTTAAAAATTAGAATTACGGTTGAATTATTGACATAGGATTTGTTTGTTATAATTTTGTTATTAAATCTACAAAATGTTATAATTAGAAACTACTTGTAAACTTAACATAAAGTAATGTGGACCTAGATTAACATTAAATCTGGTTCAAATTAACAAATATTTTTTTACTGTGAATAGTCTCAAGCTTGGGGGATTAATCCCTGGTGCTGTGGACTTTTGGGAAAATTGAATTTTAAAACTTAATTTGCTGAAGTGGCCAAAGTCTTCTTCAAAAATGACCAATTTAAAAAATATAATTTTTTAAATTTATTAACTTTACAATGTAAAAAATATTTGTTAATTTTAACCAAATATTAACCAGATTTTATGTTAATCCAGGTTCACATAACTTTATGTGGTTTTTTAACCAAGGGGACATCCATTAATTACGTGAGACAAAAATGGGGGGGAGGGGTCCAATCTCACCAAATCTCATTTTAAGTGAGGGGGGGTCATTTAAAATCTCACGTTAATTTTTGAGTACACAAAATATGTATTATAATTCAAATTTGTTAAAAAAATTAATAATTTTTTTACATGTTGTCCGCAAAGAAAGTTTAATGGCTAAAATCTCACGTGAGGGATAGGGGGCGTCTGCCACATCTCACCAAATCTCACCAAGGGGGAGGGGGGTCCAAATTATCAGAAAAATGCCCCACGTAATTAATGGATGTCCCCCAACTGTAATCTGTTAACTAATTAAATAAGTAATTTGTAATTATAACAAACATTTTGTAGATTTAATAACAAAATCCTGTCAATAATTTAACCATAATTCTTGTAATTTTCAAAAAGGACTTTATTTTTACAAACCTTTTTGTACACCTAGTAAGAAAAGTATATGTTGGAAATTGGGAACTTAAATTAAAAGAATTTTAATAAGAACTGTTGCTTTATTAATTAATTTTCTAAACAAAAAAATTAACACTTTCCTATAGGAAAGTGTTAATTTTTTTGTTTAGAAAATTAATTAATTATTAATTAATTATTGTGTATACACAAATGAACACAATAAATAACATACACACAATTAAATAACACACCATTCTAAAATCATCAAATTATAAAGAAATTTGGTAGAACACTTACTGATGTATTTCGTAACTTTAACTTACTTCACTGTACAGTTTGGCATATTTTTCGGATACTTCGCACTTCGCACACTTGTTAAATAGGTATAAGGAATTTGAATAACAATAATAACAGATTCTGGTAATATATTATAAACACTCTGGACAATTAGAATAAAGTAAGCAGAAACATAAGTTGCAGACGCTAAAGTCACGTTTACTCTTTCAACGAAATAATTTGTTAAACATTAACAAAATAATCTGTAACCTTTAAAATTAACAATATGCTTATAAAATTGCATATTATCTTTACAAAACATTCGGTAAAATATTTTATTTTATTATAATAATTACAAACACTGGTTTTCTACAAAAAAAATTGTTAAAGTTTAACAAAATAAAATTAACAAACTCATGTTAACTAATGTTTATAATAGTGTAGCAAACATTTGCAGGTTAAAACAATTATTTCGCAGTGCGAACTACAACTTAACAATATCGTTAAAATAAACGAGATTTTATTACCTATGTTATTACTAGATATGGAATTTTAGTACTATTACCTATTTGTCTACGCTAATCATAACTTTAGGTGCAATGAAATGAAACTTGTTTTGAAGAAAATGATTTAATTTGAGCCTGATTTTATTTTACCAAAATTTTTATTGTTAAGAAAAATGAACCTAATTAAGTAATAATAAGTATTTTTATAATAATGATTGTGTTTTTTATTGTCAGCAACTGTATGCTTATTTACAAAAACATTTTAAATGTGCCGCTATAAAAATTTATAATATTATTATAGTATTATAATACTTTTACAAGATATATTCGTCAGTTATTTTCAGATTTTTTAAATCATAAAGATCTTTTTCATTAAAGTTTTATACCATAATAAATTAAATAATTTTACCACCTAAAAGTTGCTTTTCAGTACTATTTTTGCAAAGTAAGTAAATTTAACAATTTTCTCACCTAAAACAAGAAAAAACTTTTTAAAAACTCACTAATTGAGCAGTTTTTCTTTAATTTTTTGTATTCTTATTTCTTTAAAATAAAAAACTTTGATTTAATGGCGCAAATTCAATCGTGTGCCAACTTCTACGTAAACTCATTAAATCATTTAAAAAGTGATGACGTTACTGAGAATTGAACTCTTCTCTTTCTGTTGTCAAAATATCTTTAAAATTTAAAAACGATTAGCGTTTCTGAATTTGGCATATCCAAAAATCCCTAAAACGATAATTTTTTAATAAAATTTTATACAAGATTTTTTTAAGTCAAAAATTATAAAAAATAATGGTAGGTAAATAAAATATTTTAATATTTTGGATCTAATTAGATTAATATTACTATTTTAAATCATTATTTTTTTATAACGTTTGTCTTTTATTTGTGAACACTCTGTATAAGCTAGAGTAACAAAATTAAGCGAATGTGTAGTACACAGAGAAAAAGGATTACTTGAATAAAATAAATTTTGTTTGTCCCAAATAAATTTGTTGTTTGTATATGGCGAAGTAAATATTTATTTGTTTATTATTAGTTATTTCTTTAATATGTTTTAAAGAATATTTTATTTCTTGAATAATTTTTTTCTTTGAAGATTCAAAAAATATACCATGTTGTTGTAAATGAATATTTTTTTAATTTCTTAAAAAATTTTACCTTCTTCCAAGCCTATATTTATTTAAAACGAACAAATTTATATTTTTAAAGGAAAATAATATTTATTAATTTAAAAAAATATTGTTTTAAATTTTAAAATAAATATTAATTTGAATTTGCAAAAAAAATGCAGTTTTAAATTTTAAAATAAATATTACTTAGCATATTATTTAAAAATACCTACCCCTCGCCTTTCGTCACGAACACACATTGCACTGGTATAAATTTAAAGACCATGGTATAAAAAAAAACAAAATTTGAAAAGACAGAACAATATATTTAAAAAACGATAAAAAAATAAACAATATTATAAAAAACGAAACAGAAACTCTTTATAAAATAAATGAAAAACAATACTGGTAGGTATGTAAATAATAATAATAAATAAATAGTTGACTATACAATATATGAGTACCTTAGATGCAAAACTCGGTTTTTGCAAATTAAAAAATAAAATAAAATTGACTTTAAATTCTGTTTAGTGTTCGTCCTAGATAAATGGCGTTCATAAAACTTGATACATAATAATATTATATTATACAGTGCTTGCAAATCCAAGTCCGACCGGTTTGGGAAGAACGCGTGAAAATAACAAGGATAGAACGCCAAACAGAAGGCGCTTACAATACGCACGCCTGACGCTCTGACCAATCAAATTCTGTTTGGCATTCTATCCTTATTCTTTTCACGCGGGTATTGAACAACCATCCTTTTCAACGCGGTCGGACTTGGATTTGCAAGCACTGTATATATTATTATGTATCAAGTTTTATAAACGCCATTTATCTAGGACGAACACCAAACAGAATTTAAAGTCAATTTTATTTTATTTTTTAATTTGCAAAAACCGAGTTTTGCATCTAAGGTACTCATATGTTCATATGATAAACAAAATATATCAAAAACTTAAAAAAATAAAATGTTGCCATTAATAGGTTAAGCCTACCATTATTTAAATAACGTTAAAAAGAAAGTAAATACGGCCTGTGGTGTAGGTATCCAAAGTTGTCTGCTCATTCTTTCTTCGTTATAATTGCTACAAAGTCGGTTAATTTAGCAAAAAAATAATCAAACGTCGGGTTTCCGAAATATTCACAAAAATAATCTTTTTAATGCGACAACCTGTATATTTTTTAATATTTTAATACAATTTAATTTAAAATAAAAAATATTATTTCATAACTACCCTGAACGTATATATATTATATATTATGTATCAAGTTTGATAAACGCCATTTTGGACACGAATTTAATTTAGGCACTTTGCAAATATTGGCGTTGAAAAACTATTTAATGCTTTTGTATTTTTGTATTGAGATAATAAAATAATTTTCCCATTAAGTACTGTTTTACAAGAAGGGAACTTTATTTTAACGATTGTAAGACATTTGACAACTGTCAACTAACTTAAAGCTTACTTCAGCCCGTGACTAAAGACCTGTTGCTAGCTTCATCTCATGACAAACGTCATAAAGCCACAACTTGTCAATGTGTATTTAAATGGTCACTTAGTGTCATGGAAACATGTACGATAATGGACGTTTTAAAGGTGGGAGTAAAAAAAAATAATTAATTAATAGGCACTTTTTGAAGTTGTTAAAATAATCAGTAAGTTTTAGTGCTTATTAATTGTTTAATTTTAAGTTTAGGGTAGGTATTTATGCAATTTAAATAGTGTTTCAAAATTACTAAAAATACTAAACATATTTTAAAAACCCGACGTTAAATTGTGTTTCTGTGTTCACCATTTTAATCAGAAGAAAAAATGCCAACATCTTGCTAATTTAACCGACTTTGTAGCTCCAATAATAGCAAAGTTAGCAAATGACTTTGTACACCCAGTATATTTTTTGATGCAAAAAATGTAAAAAAATGTCGGGATTCAGACATAATAATTGATGTATTAAAAAAATGATTTAATGATGGTCACCTATAGATGTACTTATACATATGTATATGTATATACTTACCTGTTAACGCTGGCAGCAAATACTCCAAGTTGGATGAATTTAGGAACACATTCACATCCATTTTTATATTAAATTAATAAACTTAATAAAAAATACAGCCGCACTACCCAGACCAAAATGGCAATGACAATTCAACAAGCTTCCTGAAAGCGGTTAGAACAAGAAGCTTACATTTGATTGGTTTATTTTAATCACGCGATCCTTACTTTAAATAAATATTTATTTGATTTAATTTGATCTATTCAAAAGTAAAATAAATATTTGTTTCATATAAAATGTTTTACACTTATGGCGTACCAATGAAATTTTTTATTGATGTAAATAAACATTTTTGTTTTAGCGAACTGATATTTTTTTAAAGAAATATTTCTTTACATTGACTTTTTATCACATGCTAAATCCAAAGAAATTAAAAAAAATATTCAAACAAAGCAGTTTCATTGAAGGAAAAATACAGATTTTAATTTTAATAATTTTGTTTTGTTTCAAATAAATTAATTTCAAATAAACCCATTTTGTTAAATCAAGTAATCCTTTTTCTCTGTGTACCTAAAGAAATGACAAAATGTTTTTGCAAAATCTTTGTTAGATTTAATACATAGTGCTTAAAAATTAATTTTTTTTCAAATTTGACCTTACTTTGTGACCATCCTGTAAAAATTTTATTACAAAATTATCGTTTTAGTGGTTTTTGGGTATGCCAAATAAAAAGCCTTATCTTTTTTAAATTTTAAAAATGCCTATTAACTTTTGACGTTTCTGGAGACCTTCTATTTATTATAGAGGGTCATGGAAATGAAATATGACAATTTTTTTCCGAATACTACAAATTATTATTTTTTTTTCAATTCAATTTTTAAATAAATACCAAGTTCTCGCCAAACAAAATGAAACACACTGCATATATTTCTGACACTGTATAAACAAAATTTGCTCGTTTTAAGATTTACAAATTATTTTGATAAAAAAATGCATTTTAGACTAATTTTTTTTTGTTACTAATTCGGTTATTTTTTTAACAAAGAGTTACCATTTTGTTTTTTAATATTTTAAAATGAAATTTAAACCAACTAACCATACTGTAATACATATACTACTATATATTGTGCGACTAGTGGGAGAAATAGAAAATCTTTTTTTTGACCAATAGTCGCACATAATATTTATTATTCAAGTACCGCGGTAAACCGCAAGAAATTTAAATCCAATTTTATTTCATAATTTATCTGACATCTGTTAGACAGTTCTAACCTCACTTTTTTTCACAAATTAAATTTAAACAATTTCCTAATGAAGTCAAAACAAACAATTAATTGTTTTTTGTTCCTGACAAGTTTAAATTTATTTAAATGCCCCTCTAGGCTATTTTTAGATGTGAATGAGTCACATTGTTGTAGTATTAAATACACCAATAAAAAATTATGCAAATGTTGTTAGAAAAAAGTAAAACTGAATAATAAGTATTTAATTCTCAAAAGAGAATGTACCCAAAGATAATAATATCTTTGAATGTAGGTACCCAATTAATGGAAAACAAAAAAACTTGTAGGATAATGATCTCACATGTAAAATATTTTATTTATTTAAGAAAAATAGGTACATGTGTATTTAATATGTAGCTGTAGGTGTGTGGATGTTTTTTTACTCCTACATTTCAAAATTTTTAACTTTGAATGTCAAGAACCTATTAAATTAAACATACACATAATTAAATCAGCTCTATTTATAACAATTATGTAATTTACTAACAATAAATAATCGAAATGTTGTCACCGTTATGTTAAGAAGAAAAAATGCATTTTAAAGGTTAAAGCAATGATAATTAAATAGGTCATTAGGTTATTTTAATTACTAATATCTATTAGAATAATTAATATTGCAACAAAACTTGAAGTACATTTAAAAAAATATATCAAAATTTATAGCACAAAAAGATATTTAAACTAAGGACTAAAATCTGGTCGAACATATAATTTCAAATATTTATGCATAGTATTGCATACTCCTAATACATTTGACATTGTGTATAAATGATAATCGTGTTAAATTATTAAACATTTGTTTTGCATCCTGTTGACAAACAAAAAAATCCCCAACCGAAAAAATAGAATGTAAGCCATATTTAGTAACAATTTATACAATCCCAGAATTCGATATTAAGACACGTATAAGAATATTAAAAGTATTGTTTTCACTGTTGCTGATACGGCGTTTTAATTTTTAACAATTTGTCACGTATACGACTTCATTCGTGCCCTTTTTTGGACTTATTTCCTTTGTTATTTGCATGGGAGGCCCTTTGAATTAATTTATAATGAGTTGAAAATGCGTCAGTGATATAAAGGGTGTCCCAATCAAGAACCAATTAGACTGGTCTAAAAAATTAAACCAACATTCTAATAATGATTTGAAAGGGCAAGAGTAGTACCTTTGAGATGCCATAACGAGTTTTGTTGAGAGACACACCTTGCTATTAGCCTAAAAAAAAAGTCGAATTTAGGTTCAACTTGTCAAAAAACTAAATAAAAAGTTCACTGCTTAGAAGTTGTGTTGTGTTTTAAATCATTGACCTAACCACCTCTTGCCGACGGATAATTTTTAGACCCCATGTATTGTTTGGTATTTAGTTTATTAACGGAATAACCATTTACCTTCTAATAATAACAGGAAATTTGTTACAAAAGTAATTCAACTGTGTCCAGTGGTAAAATGTCAATATAAAGAAAAGGCTCAAGATTTTTTAGATGTAGCGGAGAAGACTTAAAAAGTTGTTAATATGTTTAATGTTTAACAAGCACAAAAATATAAATAATAATATTGCAAATACGTCAGAAAATCTAAATTTAGTTTGTAGGTATGTTTAAATAAAATCTTTATCGATAATGGATGTTTAAAGTAACACATAATTAACTACTTAACAGAAACTATAAAAACATTATTATTTTAATTGTTATTTTGTTTTCCCGTAATGATTTTAATACGTAAATGTTTGTGTTTTGGCGGATTTTTTGGTTTATATTTAGAACTAATTTTGATTTGGGATAAAATCAAGGTCAAATCAAAAGTTGCCAAAATAAATATATAACTTATTTTATGAACTTAATTAAAGTTACATAATGCATTTATTTGTCAGATTTTCATGGCATTTTGAACGATTCAGGAAAGGTGCTAAATTATCTGAAAGTAAAAATAATGATGCTATTTGACAATTTGTCCACGCCAAGCCTTCTATAAATTTATGTTGGTTTTAGAAAGATTAATGAAATAACTTAAATTTTAGAGCGATAATTTTTTTAACGTTGCATGTTTTATAAATCATTAAAATACTTAAAATAAACATGTTACGCCACCCTTTTAACATAAAAACCTAATTATTGTACCGTAAAAAAATAAACAAAATTAAAAGTAGGTACTACACGGGGACTATAAATACCAACAAATCGTTGTTATCAAACTCTAACGTAGGGTGGTTCAAAAATATCATTTTTATTACACGCGCAGCAAATAAATCAACTGTACTCGAAAGTAAACATTAATTGTCTTTATATAAATGTAGGTTGGTACGACTGAATTTTTTTATTCGATAAATTCATGCTTTGCTCAAGGATGTATAAAATCGCGAAAATATTAACGACTTTTTCTTTACTATCTCTCAAAAGGCAGCAAAAGAAGAATTTTCGTTGCGCTTGTCATGAAAAATAGTGGCGAAAGGTGGGGATTTCTCTTTACAAATGTAAAGTACTATTATTTATATTATTTTAGTAAACAATACATTAATTTTAATTAATGACAACAAGCCTAAATTACGAAAAGCAAATAAAAAGCGGTAATGAAAATGATGACAAGCCAAAATGACGACCAGGTTATATAATAATAGGACTAAATATCAACAAATGTAAACTACGACAAGCTTAAAATATATAAAGTTTTAATAAAAATTAGGGAAATTGATGACAAGCCTTAACAAGATAAAATGATGACAAGCCTAAATGACGACAAGGTTATATGATGATAAGCAGGCCCGTTCCTGGGGTGCCTGGCGCCTGCGTGCAACATTCGTTGGTGCGCCCCTTTTATATTGAAATATAATACATTAAATATTTGAATTTTAAGCCGTAAAATTTAAAAAATATATTTTTTGCGACAAACTGGCAATATGTAATTGAAAATGTATCTATTTTTTCGAAAAAAAAATCCAAAAAACACGTTGCTAAGTAATATTTTAACAATTAGCATGAATGCTGGTGGCAACAAAACTCCGAGTCGAAGACGAGGATTTTTGCACCTGCACAAATGCATTTTGTTAAAAAATATTACTTACCATTGTGTTTTAACGATTTTTTTACAGGAAAAGTTAGATGCCCGAATGGTATTTGACAACACTATTTCATGAGTAACAATTAACAATTAAAATATAAATTGCAATTTTTGGTGACAACAGCAGTCAAGTTTTGCCGCGGGTAAACTCGAAAAAACTGCCGACAGGTGCTGTCATACAGTTTTTCCACCATTTGTAGTTCAAAATGCGCGTTTGTGATTAGTGGAAATTAAGACGAGGGAAATAGTCAGTAATAAAAATACTCTAAACAAAACAAAAAAAAAACAATCTAAACAATATAATAACTACAACTGGTTTTTAGTGACGTACTCTATAAAAATGACTAGTTTTCAAAGTAAAAAAAACTAATAACTTTAGTCCACAGCAATTTGTATCCCGGGCATTTAACAGCTTATTATTATGTAAAATTGTCCCCTGAATCTGAAAATACTGTCAAAAATTATAAAAGTAAAGCAGTTTTTAAGATATAGTCAATACCATATTATAGAAAATTTACTAAATCTCAAAAACGTTCTCCTTTTATAACTTTTGAGGACATTTTCGGATTCAGCGGACAATTTTACATAGGAGTTGACTGCTAAATATCCGGGATACAAATTGCTATTGACAATAATTATTAGTCGCTGCTTTTTCGCTATTGCAATTAGACTAATTGAATTAGTCATTTTTCACTAATTCTATTTTAGAGAGTTACTACTGTGCTACCGTCAACTGCAACTATCAAACAAATACTAAAGATAATATGACCATTTCTCTCCTTTTATTTTGATCCTCATATCAAAACAAAATAAGCAGCCAATATCAAAACGGCAAAAGGCGCTTTATAGCGACCGAAAAATAGAGCGGCCGACGCAAAAAAGGCAGAAACCTTTATCCAATGTATGTTTAAGTATCATATGCAAGAAAGTTTATCGTTACAAAGTACTGATTGACTCTTTGATTTTGCGCCCCCGAAATGTTGCGCCTGCGTGCGTGCACGCACTGCACGCTCGCCAGGAACGGGCCTGAT